TTCATAGAGCAAACACCCTGTTTACATCCTGTGTGTGTCTTGTACAGTATAGTTTAAACTCAGTACAGAATGGACCCACGCGACAAACCTTTAATTTTCACCTCGTTTGTTAGATTTATTTCGTAACTAATAAAATGTATACAATAATGGTTAGTTGGCCATTTACACTGAAGTCAGCTAATACAAAGACGTTATACACAATTTATGATCGATAAACTTGATCACTTCGTTGAATGGAAAGAGACGCCCATCTAGCCACAACAATCGTTTCTTTTACATTTGAATGCGACTGATTTCAAGTGAGATCGTTGAAATTATATTTATCAGAAAAACATGTCTTTAGTGACTTTAATGTAAAGAATGATAATTTTAATTGTCGAAGAATTGGACTTTGGAAGAAATGTGTGTTTTTAGACGAAATGGCTTTTACTGACATGCAGTACACCTTAAATTGGGCAACAACACGCAGCTCTTTCCCCGTTTTCATGATGTTAAGCAGGTGCTCCACCACCCCGCGAAATTAACTTATGCCGGCTTATATATACAGTTTTACTAAGGTTCTACAGCATTTCGTCGAATAACCATTTCGTTGAAAGTCCATTTTCTTGAATGACCATTTAGTCGAATGTCAAAATTATCATTATTTAAGCGTCCAATTAAACCTTAAATAAAGAAAATCACTGTACAATGGCATCCTAGGATGGTGGAGCTCAATTGTATGATATACAGATATTGTCAATAGCTAGGGCCCCCTGTATTTATGTATACAGATATATTTGTATTAAGGTGAGCTAGATGAGAGAGGGGTTATGTTGGCGACTCCTTCAACGAACAGAGTATGCAAACATACCCTATTCGTCACGTCACGTAAAACACCAACAAAACGATAAGGCTACTGTGATGGTTCTGGGCAGAGTGGTAGCGTTTGGAAAGCAGCCAACACATTTTTTTATCTTAGGAGATAAAACAGTCCAACAATACAGTATTCAATATGACTAAATAGGCGTTATCAATAGGCACCATGACAACGAGATGCTTTGTGAACCGATGAGCGTGTCTCAATTACTGAGTCACTCTGGCGCGACCGAGTTCGTAATAGTCTTCCAGAAAGACAATGACATAGTTACATATAATGATTTAATAATAGTCGTGTATCTATTTTTGTGTATACTACCGGCAGTAGTAGTTACCGTCCCCGTGTGTTATACTGCTTTCGACGATATTTGTTATCAGTCCATATTCCGGCCTTTTAATTAACGGAACTTATATGCTGTGTACCGCCGACCAAGTTATCTATCATCAAAGAATCGACGTGTTCTTGTCAACCAAGGGAGTATCATGTCAATAAGCGCTAAACTAAAGGGCTGTGTGCTGAAGACATTTGCCCGTCCACGTAAGGAACGGTTCAGTTTTTATATGACTGGGGATGCGTCGGTCAATCAAAGGTGGTCACCTGAATTTCAACAGTACAAAAACGGGGTCGTCAGTCTTTTCACTTATCAATGATTGGCTCCTTACGTTAATAATAATGGTTTCAAATACCTTGGAAAGGTGTTCCAGGTTCTCCATGTAATAATATGGTATTCGCATTCAATGCAAAAACGATGAATACGGTCAAACTGTACTGTGAGGGCGATAGGTTTGTACATTAACCCACCGGAACATTGATTGGGATCAATAGTTGTGGTTCTTGAGATACCAGTGTAAGTGACACAGACACACGTATACATCCTCTCTGTGATATTTATATTTTGTGTTCAAGATTTATATTTTAATTTACGGTTTGTTTGGTAACATCCTAAAGCATTTTAGCTGTGATTAATCTTCGTATCAGTGTCGCAGGTCTGTCACTTAATCTTTTATATATACACTTCTTTGCCCTCCACACATTTTTTTGTCTTTCTTGAATCTTTCCTGGCCATCCCACTAAATATCTGTTTTTGTCTAGAGAGAGTGTTGTAAAGTGTAGCTATGAATTCACCAGTTTGCTTTAAATTGTCACCGAGACATTTTAATAAAAAAATAAAATGATAATATAATAATAAGATTTTTGTTCTGTGTCCAGGGTTTTAAATACCTGCCCGTGTTTAATAAACAGCATGGCATTCTTATTGTTTGTTACTAGTAATTTCTTTAGCGCTTTCCATTAACTTTTCGCCTTTCATTCAAATTTCTGTTTATTCGAGTCTCGTCCCGTTCTCCCTCAATACTCGTCTCTACTCTATCCCTCTCATCAAATTTGCTCAATTGGCTGACTTCTAAAAATATTATATCTTTAATGAATGCATTGATGTACAGATGTGTAGTATTTAACTAACTTTATACTCACTTCATTACATTGCACTGAAACATCCGCTGTACATCAATTCAGGAAGTGCCCATTTATAGTGAGGATGTACATGAAGTGTATTATTTAATAGGAGTAAGATACATTGCATTGAACTTGAGATTCCCAACATTCAATTATGAACAATTTCTGTCATCCGTATTGCCCCCTAAAGGAAAACGTTTGGATACATCATTTAAAGAGAGCGTTCAGAAAGCAATGAACACAGAATGGACAGAACATGTTCTTGTGTGATATCGGAATGTAGAATGTCACGATCTACTCTGTTGTAATTGATAACATTACAAGAAACACAGAGATATAGTTGATAGTGACAACATATGTTTGTGACAGTCATTCTAGCTGCTTCTGATAGGTATCATCAATGAAGACAATGGTTAGCAATAAAATATACACACTTACTGGAACTTTATACAGGAAGGAGAAAACTTCGATATTGTTCAAAACATTATAGATAGCCTCACAATAACATTGATTTAGTTACTGATTGATTTAGTTTAGTTACGTGTAAAATTCATATATTTCTTGAATGTTGCCAACTAAAGACTGACACAATGAATCAAGAGGGTTTAAATATTTATAATCGAGCAAGACAACATAACATCCGATCACTACAGACAGCATAGATACACCCAGAGCTCCCCAAGACTGAATCCGTATCAAACAAAACACTTACAATCAGAGAGCATGTCGTCAGGAGGAAAGCTTTTAATAATCAGAATCACGTGACCTGATTCGATGTGACACGTGATAGTATGAACATAAAGCTACATTTCCTCTCTTAGAAAAACAGAGCGATGGTTATGTATGGTTTTATTAAAAGAAGCATTGATGACAAACAATATCTGTATTGAGGTTCGTCGGACGGCTTTGAAAACAACACAACAAAGCCATCTTGTCTCTGTCTGATATTGATATTCGTAAAAGTCTTTGTCTAATGAGTGATATTGATATTCGTAAAATATTCGTCTTATAAAGTCAAAAGGAAGGAACATTAATTGTGCTTGTATTAAAGGCTTCAAATATAATGTTGCCGACAAAACAACTTTGAAAAAAAGGTTAAATAATTTCACAAGGCCACACTTCACGAATAGTGTTGCAACATGACTTTTCTCTTTTTGAGATGGTACGTAGTTTGTGACTTCAACATATATTGTGTGCTTGTGAATTGAGTAACGGTCATCAAACTTAGCCAAAGTTTAACTAATTAAAGCATTTATTTCTTATATACTAATTATTTCGCATCAAAATAATCAATATGCAAGATAATAAATGATATAGTTTTCTGTATCAATAACATTAGTAACATGCCGTGCAATAATTGCAATATATCGAATATAACGAAAATGCAACATCAAATTATCAGCCCTCAACGCCGACGGTTGTCGTTTGAATCCAGTCCAACGCTGGTGGCTCCGTAGCACGTTTTAACATAATACATGTATATTGTAGCTCGCTTATACATGTGTCATGGTGAAAGTGCCTCCCTTTCATACTTACTAATAATTAACACAAACGCCATTATTTTTTATTGGGCTGCTTGGGCGATTTACAGGACTTGACTCTCGCAACAGTAACGTCGGCATAGTAATGTTGATACGCTAAACTGACCGTATTGCAGTCGTGTCATTTACCTGATCCTGCCGTTCTGATAAACTACAATAGGCTAGGTCCAGCGGCCATTTTTTTCAAATGTGTCATTGGATGACATTATTTTAAATCTATTCATCCGTGACCCCGTTTAGTAATCTTCATCGAAATGAGTAAAAAAAATTGAGTATAAATTTGGTTGAAAAAAATCTTTCATTTAAAAAGAACATCCGTGGAGCACAGACGACTTATGAAATAATATAATCCAAAGCCTAATATAGTGGTCTCAAAGCATTCAGCCAAGTACTGATATCAAGAGCTGGGACATGCAGTGATAATACTAAAAACTAAGAACAGCGTGAGTGTAATTAACTCTCAGACTAGCCACCTCAATGTAAATAAAATGTATATGACACCTTGATAAGAGCCAGATATGTGCTCGTCGTTGTTTTCACTGTGCGTTTTGACTCACGAGTCAACAATACAAACGCTATAGTATCTAATCATAATATACAAAGCAATTTAATTTAATTTGAGCGCATGATACATTTACGTTAAGCGTGAAACGCATATCTGCCAAAGTGGTTTAAATTATTCACGGGACGATGTATGCTTGTATTGTATGCTAGCATGAAGTCATGTTTTTCGCCAGATGCAGTTTTTTCACAATTATAACCAAGCCTTGCCGGCTATGATGGTATTGTATTTGTTTTAGACATGATCACATTCAGTGCATGCACGTTACCTCACGGACAACAGCGGACTAATTAGCATAGAAAGAGTGTCACCATCTGCGCATGTCCGAATTTGTAATGAGACTTGCGTACGACAGTTGCGTGTGAACAATGCAGTTCGTTTAAATATAATTGAAAACTCAAGAGTAATTTCCTGATACTAATTAAACATCTGTTATGTTCGTGTTTTAATTAATTGGACTCACCATACTGTACTCGGACCGAATAACCGCGGAGCGCTACAATTTCATAAATTTGCATATGGTAATTACCTTAATTATTTCGATGTAAATACATACGAGGAAAGACTGTGCACAGAACCGACCAGAGACAAAGGTAGCAGAACAGGTAACATCGATTCGCAAAGAAATCCTTTGAACACGTTAATTTTCGTTTAGTTGTTAGTTTGTACTTAAATAGCGATAATTTTATATTTTCTTGAAGCATATATTACAGCATGGCGACGGGAAGGCTTCCTGTCTGTGTACTACTGCTGATACTATCCCTGTGTGTTGTCAATATAGAGTCATGGCTATTTGAACAGCGATCCCGTCAGGTAAGCAGTCCAATAACTATAGCAACATGTTTTTGTTTTTTTCAATTTATTTTTCCGAAAATAGCAATCCATGTTATGATGCGTTATGCTCCATGTAGTTGGAACTGAAAAATAATTGTCATATTTTATTCAAGTTAGTTAACAAATATTGAATCTGCACAGTTGTAAATAGATGATCATGGTAAATTTAAATTGTAGCTTAGTTTCTACAACATCGCGGATGTAATTAGGTGTGACAGGTAACTTCCGATGTAGCGTATGCTCGTCGAATTTGACGAACGCCATCATCACGTCAACGAATTTTGAATCAGCCACCTTGATATGAATTGCTTGCGTGTGTGTGTGTGACATTGTCATATCAGAATCGATTGACACATCAAAGCAAACACTTTTTAGCATTTTAACTACAATATCGTGACTGGTGTTTATTCCTACCCGAGATTATATTTTCGTTACAGGTCGTTGATAATATCCGAAATTATGTGAACAAGATAATGTATGGCAAAGACACACACGTAATTGAAGAAACTATACACTCTAGGGGGAAACGTGAGTTGCACATAATATAATTCTAATAATCTGAGTTTTATTTTGTTAATGGAAATGGAATTAGTATGACAAATTGGAATAACAGTTTCAACAAAACCACAATAATATATGCCCTATCGCAAACGATATTATTATTACCTAATTTCGGGAACTGATCTCACTGCATAACCAACTTTATTAGTGAAATTTACACATTGCGTGAGAGGGTAGCTCAATATCAACAGTGCGATGATGCCTTTTTAAACACTGATCCAATTATTGTACGTTATAGGAGCTCCGAAATGTGCACTCACTGATATAGTCTATCAAGACAACTGCTACAGATTGGTCGCAAGTGTTTCTGTTGACTTCGACGATGCTATCGCGGGATGTGCAGCAATAACAACTGGTGACTTCCAGCTTGCAAGCGTCTTGACTTCTGATGAGCTAGACCATCTACGAAATAACTTGCCAGATGGAGACTTTTGGGTAGGTGCAGATGGCAGGGCAGGGAGTGTTCCAGGTCAGGTGCAAACCAATTGGGCGTGGGTAAATGGTGATTCTTGGCCGGCAGACGCTCTAACCTGGCTTTGGTCTCCGGGTAGACCCGAAGTCGGGAGTGGTAACGATTTCTGCGGATTTCTGAAAAAGAAAAATAATTACAACCTGGAGGACACACCCTGCTCAGATGAACGTGGTTATATATGTAAAGGCGGTAAGTATACTATATATGTTCACTTGTGTGTAACATTATTTTAACACATAATTCATATGACGGTGCATATAATACACAGCTTTAATATTTAAGTTTGAAATACAACTGTTCATATGGTACGGTAAACGACACGATATTCACGTGGAGCGTCATTATTTGATGCGTACTCGAACAGTGTGAAAATCAATTCAAATCAAATCAGTTACTTATAGGATGCTATTACCCTAACTCATAATAATGCTAAATAAGATTATTTTGAACATATCATATTTCCGAGAAGATTAATAATTCTAACGATCATATAAAAACATCAACGGCCGCAACTGCTAATGTGCACCTTCTGGTGCGATTTGACTTCATGGAAAATTAGCTCATAGCGAATTTTCACTGACTTTTTAGCAGGTTATTAGATACACATTTATAAATTATTTTTTCAGAAAATCATGCTGTGCAGCCACCAACAGGTCCTTCCGATTTTGGAGGTAATACATCTAGTTATTTTTAACTCGTTAACTAATTACTGTTTTAAAACATTTTATCTTGAATAAATAATGCGATGTTTGTACATAATTTTAATTTCTTTTGTTTCAAAGATTGCGTTTGCAGCGGTTGGGGAGAACCTCACTATACCACATTTGATGGTCATCATTTCGACTTCCAAGGACAGTGCAGTTACACAATGGTTATAGACCAAAGCGTAGGCGGGCCAGAGTTTGAGATCGAGGCAGTTAATCGGCCTACGGTACCAGGGGCACTTGTCACGTTAATCGATCACATAATAGTTCGGGTAGATGGTCACGTGATAGAGTTGCATCCTGGAGAACAAGTTAAGGTAATCAAACATATGATATATGCATAACTATATACATATATTAGAGTAAATTTTACATCATGTTTACTCTCAATTAACATCACATTTCGCCATAAGACGTTCCACTATCTTTAGATACTAAATCGCAGTTTCTCTTCTGTTTAGGTTGACGACACACTTGTTACATTACCTTATTTTGCATTATCGCCCATAAGTATCATTCTTTCCGGTAAATTTCTATACTTGACGTATCCGGGAAAGTTTTGGGTTTCATTCTGGGCCGAGATAGGCGATGTGACTAGCTCTGCGCTATTCGGAGTTCACGATGACTACCAGGGACTCACGGGAGGTTTATGTGGCAGCTGTGATTCAAACGTCAACAATGACTTACTCAAACCTGACGGGCAGCTAGCAGCTACCGACTTGGAGTTCGGAGATAGTTGGAAGACTCAGACAAGGTAGGTGCATTCAATCTAACTATTTTGTTTGCTTTTTTACGTTGTCACAATCACAGTAATATAAAAGGGTTGACCATTACAAATTCGGAGAGCGTAGAAAATTGGGACAAATTATGTTTTCTTTCTTTCACTAAGTTTCGAGATTGAATTTTCAAGGTGAAAATTTTTTGGGCTCAATACCAAATGCGATTTTGACCACAATATATTGCATTGTTCTCGCACGTACAGTATTGACGAAGAGTGCCCGGATACAGAACCACCAATAGATTGCGAACCTGACGAAATAGCTCGTATCTCTGACATCGGGCTCTGCGGTATGATAACTGACCCTAATGGAGTGTTCGCACCATGTCACTCGGTCGACGCTACGTCGGTGGATTTTTATTTTGACGCGTGTGTATTTGATTTGTGCTTCGCTGGTGATGACCTGCTATGCGACGCACTGACTGCCTATTTTGACTTCTGTCTAATGCATAATATCCAGCTGCAGCCTTTCAGAACCGCCACGTTCTGTCGTGAGTAGATTATGTTATGTTAACACAACTGCGTTGTCTTACTAGTAACAACTTTTTGACAACTAACACACATTTAAAATTGTTTTTTCCCTTAGCTCTTCCTTGTCCACCAAACAGCGCTTACAACCCATGCATGACACCATGTCCAGAAACTTGTTTATTTGCCGAAAGCTGCGCTGGCGAGCCCTGCGTTGAAGGATGTGAATGTGATAATGGGTACGTTTTGAGCGGAAATATATGTTTATTAGAGACAAATTGTGGATGCTTTGATTCTGACGATCTTTATCACCAGGTAAGTCAGTAAGAGGCCATAGGTCTCAAGGTACAGTGTATTTCTTAATACAGTCCCTCCATGTAGTTTGGTATTACTCTAGAATGGTATGCATTATATACGAGGTTTGAAAGTACATTTGCAGACGTCCTCTACAAAACATACTATACACAAAAGGCTGAACAATATGTGAAACATTTAGATGATAAGATCACATACGTGTTTCAAATTTATATATGAATAGACGTATAGTACGCTCATACATAAAACAAAACTCAATATAGATAACTTTATGTGCATGCAGCGTATGTCCCTTTAACGATGTATATGGTTAACACAGACCGTTTCTTTGGTCGCTCTCACAAAAAATATACAGATATGTACACTTTTCATATTTTTACAAGCTTAAATACCTGTATTTAGTTTTTGCTGCTAAATCTTTATCAAATAAGTGTGTATGTAATATCGAAAACCGATACTAAAATTACTAAGATTTAATGTGTAGTTTCTCTTTTACGCTACTGTATGAGTCTAAAATTATAAATATGTTGGTATCCCATACACATATAGCCGGGAGAAGAATGGATCACCGCAGACTGCTCCGAGTTGTGTACTTGCACTGAGAACGATCAATATTCCTGTGTTGCATTTGGCTGTGTCGGAATCCGAGAAATCTGTGACGTTCAAGACGGAGTGCGGGGATGTTATTGCGAGGAAGGATATGAACGCGATGTGAATGGCGATTGTAAAGGTTAGTTCAGCGCGCTGTTTCAAACCGTCACAATCGTTCGATAGGGGTACCATCATGCGACGTACTAGTATATAACGCGTTTAATACATTGATTAAAAGGGCGGCAGTCGTCGCGTCCTGTTCGATATGGGACTCATAGCGACGTATACAACGCATGTAGATTGTTTATTTACATGCAATTCGAACACGCGCTGCGCGACGACCAGCGCGCTTTAAAAAAATACGAACGGCACTGCGTGGCGGCTGTGTGTGCTAAATCGTAACATGGAGGTAATCTTTTTTACCTCTATGATCGTAACGTGTGTTTCAAAATCAATTATTTTGTTTGGATTGCTTTCAAATTTCTTTAAACGAATGTTGATACATTGAATTGCAATTGCATTTTCATATTTTAATACTCCCTCCAAATTATTGCTGCAGTTCATCGCATTTATTAATAAATATTCGTATCTTATGGGAAAGATTGACATACCGTGCATACTCAACAAGTGGGTATATTCCTAGATACTACACAATCTGATATTTGTATTTTATTCACAGACGCGGAAAACCCCGTTATAACATGCAATGCACCGGACGCGAACTCCATAGTTGATTGTGACAACGATGGTTTCGAACCTGTCACATTTGATGTAACAGCCACCGACAACATTGCCATTCTATCTATAGTATGCACTCCCGACGACTCGGCACCTTTTTCTGTTGCCGGATCCCCTCACTCTGTAACATGCGTCGCAACCGATACCTCAGGAAATACTGACGAGTGTACGTTTGACGTTGTCGTCAACGCAGGTAACGTTTTTCAAGTTTGTTTTTGCCTACTCTGTTTTTTGCGTATAAACTTAATATTCTAAATAATGTAAAGATGTATTGCTTCATCATACTTAGTTTCATTGCATTTTAACCCTATAGTTTTTGATAAATCCCGGTCACATGACGTTTCGCATTTTGATAGTTACGGTGTCATTCACGATCACCTTATGCCTACGTGTTCATTTCGTTCGCTTTAGATGAGATTGATCCTGTGTTCGACACGACTTTGGCCGACACGACGATTCCGGGCGGCGATTGCGGGCCAGGTACATATACTTATGACACTCCGACTGTGAGCGACAACTGTCCAAACAGCCAAGTGTCATGTTCACCAACTTCACCAAGTGACTTCGGTTGTGGACCACATACAATAACTTGCACCGCAACAGATGCCTCGGGAAATGTTGCGACAGACGAATCTGTCGTTACAGTGGAATGCACTGGTAAGTGTTTCACTCTTTCATATGTTTCGGAAGTCATTTTGTTTTGTTTATTGTTGATGTTTTGAAATATATATATATATTGTGTGTTACCATGGATGTCATGCAACAGCCTTGAAGAAATTTGGCATGTGCTAGAAACTTTTTTTTTAATTTGTCTTAAAATATACATTATTTTAAAAGTGGGATAAATACTATTACTACATAAACGCTGCGTGACTTTTAGTATCGGGTATCAGTACCAGACCAGTGGAAATGTTTTCGAGAGATGTTTCTGGAAACGCACGTTTTCGTCCGACTTTGTTATTATTGTGGATTCCAAAAATAACTTAATTGTTTGATGTTTAATGAAATGTGTTATGCCTGACTCAGTTTAGAGCCATACTGAAAAATCTTAGATAACTAAGGAAACCTCGTTCTTCTTGAACATAGATTATGTTCTCACTTACTCTCAACTAAAGAATAAGCAGCAATGTTCGTTTATTTATTTCGCTTTTTATGTACATATTCCAGATTCAGAGGGTCCAACTATTGAGCTGACTGTGAATGAAGTGTGTGGGTGTGATGATGGCGACCCAGTAACTTTCACAGCCACGGCATCCGATAACTGCGACGGCGCTGGTGTGCCTGTTACATGTACACCCAGTTCTGGTGGTTCTTTCAATTGTGGCCCGAATACAGTCTCTTGTACAGCAACGGATGGTTCTGGTAATCCGACAACACAAGATTTCACAGTCAACCTCGAGTGCGGTGAGTACATAGGACTGAATCATAAATAAAGCGTGCGTTAAATGAGGGGACGCGCTATCGAGGAGTACTTAGATGATTCACCACATTATACGGAGCAATAACAATTCGTCATTTTCTCTTTTAATTTTTTTGGTCTTAATTTTGGTTTTATTTTAAATTTCAAATGTAACCGGCAAGGCTCATGAAAACGAAATAAGTGTACTCTGGTTTTATGTTTTTTTCCATTTTGCATCGATCGAATATTATACATCAAGGTATAATTGTTAATTTGCGGTAAATCATAGCAAAATTCGGTCAATTACATGCGGAATCATCTTAAACATGTATACCATGTTTTCATTCATATTGAGGATCGACAAGGGGTATTTTCGTAAGCTGTAATCAATTATTTTTATTTTCGTAATAATGTAATTTAAATAAATAAAAAAAACTTTCATTTTATTTCCTGTAAAAACGTAAAATGCATTGTTTATTTCCTGTAACATGTACCAGCTCCCCCTCCCCTCCCCCATATTGCATTCTGTTTTGTCCTTTAAACACATTAAGTGAAATGAACATTACATTTGTTTACAGATATCACCCCTCCAGTTGTGATTCCACCTACGGATAAGGAAGTCGTAAACTGTGACGTCAGTTCGACGACTGTCGTTGATTATATTATCGACGCTAGCGACGATTGTTCTTCAACCTTGACCTATGATTGCGGTTCCTTTAATTCCGGTGCAGACTTTCCATGTGGCTCAACATTGGTAACATGCATCGTGTCGGACGAATGTGGAAACGAGGCTACCCCGGTGACGTTTAACGTTGTTGTAATATGTGGTATGATGATATGTTCTATATTTTATTAGTTTTAAAATTTGATTCAAGAAGAAATATTCACACAAAAATGTTCTGGCGGGAAACCAGTTATTGGCCTTATGCATGACCCCTAAAGGTCCCACATCCTGGAACTTTCAGGGGATATGGTTGTTCCATCACAGCAAGAATTTTCAATAATATACATCAATGTTTACAATGTTTAACTCTTTTTGAATTTTAAATATATCTGTTTGCATTTTTGTGAGATAATAATAATTAAATTTGAATTGACAGTGAAGTTTTACCTCCAGAAAGTACCAGGATGTGTGACCTTATGGAGGTCATGCATATATGGCCCAATTGCATGAGCACGATAGCTGTTACCGTAACCGTTATATTTAGTGTTATTGTGTGATATACGATATTGGTTGTAATCCAAGTCACTATTATTCAATCCTAGATACCGAGATCCCAATTTTTCCGGACAGGCCCCATATAAAAACATGGACTTGCGATTCCGAGATAATAGTTGACTTTGATATACCAGAAGCCTCAGATGACTCTGGATATGTGACTATTACATGTGACCATCAACCAGGTGAATTGTATGGATGTGGAAACACGCGGGTACGATGTACTGCAACAGACGTGTGTGGAAAAATCAAAAAGCAAGACTGGCTTGTCTCAGTGCAATGCGGTAAGTTGCCATTTGATTAAAGTGATACATGTATTTCAGTTTTAAGACATTCTCGTCGGATTAAAACATGATGTTGTGTTGTGTTGTGTGCGAAATGTTGAAACTTGAGTGTGCTAACATATAGTACCATTGCGGTGTCATTTATTTGTGTGTTTCATAGTTGGTTACTGGTGCACGATATTCTGTTTTTCATTTGTTTCTACCCGATTTTCAGATACACTTGAAATTCACCGATTTTCTTCAAAGTTGGAACACAGATCGAAGGGTTTTGTTTTTTGTTTCGATGACTTCTGACCAACTGGCGGCCATTTTCGTTCAATAAATGAAATGAAATTTAAGTCGTTTTCGGGCATGATTTTGGCTGATTATATTCAAACTTTATATAAACTGCGAATATGTATTGGTGTACATCAGTTGGTTTATTAATTTTTTTATTAAAAAATGACCGACTGACATCCCTCTTGGGTTTACTTGCATGTGCCCTTAACAAATTCAAAGACTTGCCGACATGCATGTATTTTCGTTTATTTTCTTTTTTTTCTCAATTTCTCAATTTCTCAAGCTGTAAAACAGGTAAAGGGATATCTGACTTGGAAACGAAGTCTGACTTTTGAAAAAAAACGCAAACAAACGACTACTTGTAATGCGATGAGTGTAGTATAGTGTTTTTGTTTCAAACCAAAGTCCAAAACATATTAAAACGCTAACTACTAGTATTCATCTCTCAATAATAATTAGCTCCCAAAATAGTTGGAAAAGGAAGACCGAAAAGGGATACTTGTGCAGCTGATGGAATGATAGTGGACCTTACTGGTTATAACGCTCAAAATGAGGCTGGTGACCCAATTGATTACACCTGTGATATTCCACTTCTGGGCCAGTTCTTCCCATGCGGTGTCACGCGTATCACTTGTATAACTGAAGTAGGCCTATGCGGGCGTACTGGAACTAAACGCATCGATTTGGAGGTCACGTGCGGCAAGTATTGATACACTGCTTTGTAGTGTTATTCTTACAATGTTAAAAATGCAATACAGATAACTTTGAATATGTTTAAATATTTTGTTTTCAAATAATTTATGATGATATTTCATCGAATGAATACTGCTTTATTGCTGCCAAAACAACTTTTGTTTTTTCCTTATTTACGACAAATCATTTTCTTTTGTTATTTAATCTGATTTGAGCCATATATTTTCATTCGAACGTAACGCTACTTTCAAGTGGTACACATCCAATCTTGGCGACATGGATTTCAGTACTCTCTCTTCACGGAACAAAATGACGCATGCGCAGCGAGACTGATATTACCTGTATTACTGACTTTCGTGGTGTGTATTTTTAACAGATCCCGACCCACCGGTTATCACATATTCCGACATTTCAACACTCAGTTGCAATGGAATTGACGCAGTTGTACCGACGTTAGTGACAGCCATTGACGCGAATGATGGTGCCGTAACACCAATCTGTACACCGTCTGAAGGTACTTCTTTCACGTGTGGAGATACACCAGTTCAGTGTACGGCGACCGATGAATGTGGCAATGAAGCGGTGGTGGATTTGACAGTTACCGTTATTTGTGGTAAGTGCATGTTTGTGTTTTCAAAATAAACGTAAATTTCACCTTATACAATTATAAAATGAAATCATTTTACAAAACAATATCGGACACATTTCTGTTCCAGTGCACATTCTACTTTTTTAAAACGTCAAGCTCCCTTATGTGGACTATGATTTGTAAGCAGTGTACACATTATGTCTTTTTTATTGGGCTCTGATTTATTTAAACTTTCTTATATAGATTCATCACAGGGTCCACAGGTTATTGTACCTGAGGATATCAGTAAAGACACATGTTCACCAACCGGAGATTATGTAGATTTTACCGTATCGGCTACACACGAATCCGATTTCCCGTTATCAGTCAGCTGCGATGCTGATGTGGAAACATTGTTTCCCTGTGGGCAAACCACCGTGACTTGCGAGGCCACCGATGAGTGTGGGGTGACTGGTTACAACTCGTTTGTCGTGACGATCACGTGCGGTAAGAATTGTGTGTATGGAGTTTTTGTGATATGCTACAGCACCTATCAAAGAACCGTACAGGCATTGTTGTTTTTTATATGAAATATGTATATATGTAAAATTACGATTGAAAATAACGCGGGTAAGAAGGGTATTCTACGGCAAATTTTATACATTTCTGTAAGAACACCGAACAACGAGATTAGTTTGATTCAATACATGACCCAACTTTGGAGGAATCAGTTTTCAATGCAATGGTGTAACGAACACAACACGTAACTTGTGCTCATACTGCTTTCGTGTTTTGCAGATACGACGTATCCAGTATTCACAAAATGTAACCCCGAGGTGTTCGCCCAGGATCTTGACAGAAATGACGAAGAGGAAGTTGCGTATGCACCGGAGGCCGAAGACGAGTGCGGCATATTTTTATACGAATGCACTCCACCAAGCCCTAGCATATTCCCATGCGGAACTCACGATGTGAGCTGTACAGCCACTGATCCATTTGGAAACTCTGATACTTGTTTCTTCACCGTCACCGTGACATGTGGTATGTTCGCCGTTGCTGGGTGCCTGTCGTTTTATATCTCTTCTCATACTGGTTTATCCTAAATAGTTTTGCATGAAGAAAGGCATTGTCCACACACACGTCGCTATGAGAACTTGACCATGATGATGTTTTTCGCAGTTATAAAATAATCTACACGTATATTTAACCTTACCCTGTAATAATCACTGTTAAGTAACTACCCTCCCTGTATTTCAAGTTTTACCTATAAAATAATTAACCACCCTGGTATTATTCATCTGTTAAAATAATACGCATCCTGTATTATTAACTTATTACGCCATTATTTGTTACACTTTGTTAAAGCGGGAGGGTCGTCACCTGCGCACACGTGAGATTGAATCCCAAACGACATAACACACAGTTAAA